CAATTACCCCAGTCACTGAATCAATCCACCTCATAGAGGGTCTTCCCCTCCTGTGCTGTCCCTCCACCCTCCCAAGCATCATATCCCTCTCCCAAGGACTGGTCCCCCCTTGCAACATGTCCAAAGTATGTCAGACAAAACCTCAGAATCCTTGCCTCCAAGGAGCAGCCCAGTTTAACCCTCTCCAGGATGAACCTGTTTGTTTTCTTAGCAGTCCATGGTACATTCAGTACTCTTCTCCAGCACCACAGCTCAAAGGCATCAATTCTCCTTCTATCCTCCTAAGTCATTGTCCAACTCTCTGATGCATAATAAGTGATAGCAAAGACCATGGCCTGTATCAGGGCACCTTAGTTTCCAGAGTGACACCATTGCTCTTAAGAACTTTGGAGAGGTCCCTAACAGAAGACTTCCCATTGCAATACATCTTTTAATTTTCTGGCTGCTGGTGACAAGAGTGTTGACTGTGGAGCCAAGCAAACCAAATGAATATAGCATGGATTGCCAAAAAACAGAATAGATACGTCATGGAGAAGGTGCAGCCAGAGTACTCCTTGGAGGCAAAGATGATAAAGCTTTATCTCATGTACTTTGGGCATGTTGCTAGGAGAGATTATTCCTTGGAGAAGGATTTCATGCTTGGAAAGGTGGAGGATCAGTGGAAGAGAGAGAGATCCTCAATCAGGTTGATTGACACGGTGACTGTTGTGTATCAGAAATTGTGAGAATGGCACCGGATAAGACAGAGTTCAGATCTCTTGTTCATGTGGTGGCTATGATAGGAAAAGGATGAGCAATCTCCTCCCATGTGATTACTGCCTCAGAAAACCCACTGGAGGGTCAGCTATGGATCAGTTTCAACTCAACGGCACACAGCAACAGCAACATACATGTTTATATTTTAGTGCAGAAGAGGAAGACCCTGGATGAGATAGATTGTTACAATGACTGTGGCAATCGCAGCAGGTGTGTCAGAGACAGTGAGGTTGGTTCAGGATGGGGTCGGGCGGGTTCCAAGCTATTGTTCACAGGGTCGGTAGGAGTTGTAGTCAACTTGATGGCATATAACAACATATAGATAGTTCTTTGAAGACATTTTCTGTATGCTGTCTCTGGGAATAAGTATCCTATAATGGTCATAGGTAAGGATTATTTTACTGAGTGACTGCATCAACCACTTTCAGTCAGGTAGATAATAATAGGGCTAGCAAATCTACAATAGTGAACAAAAGTGAATGACAAGGACATCTATTGTTTCCTGTGGCCTTGCTTTGGTCTATTAGTAACTAGCAGCACTTGTGGCGCTCTTGTGGCCTAGTGGTAAGCTGTGCTGCAATCTCAAAGACAGGTGTTCAAATCCACCAGCTGCTCCAGAGAAGGATGGACAGTCTCCTCCTGGTGATTTGCTGCCTCTGAAAACCCAATAGAGAGGTATGAGTCATTTCCAACTTGAGGGCACAAAACAACTTGTAGCTTTAAAAAAATTGAAGTAGGTGGAAGAAAATAGGGAAAATGTTAAGTCCTTCTTGAAAATATTAGTGGGGAAATTTTTCTTGAGTATCTCCTTGAATTCAATTTTGAAGGCTAATTAAAACTTAAATTCCTTAATCACTGGAAAACCATTAAGATAAAAAAAGTCATCAGTTCAGTCTTCTTAGGACATTTTTTAAATTTTATATATACTTGGATCATTCAAATTATCTCTCCAAAGCATTCTAAACTTTAAAAATACAAGTAAAATTATGAATCTATGAAATTATTAATATGGTAGTTAGCACATTATGTTTAGTCCAAATGAATGACAGATCTTTTTATATATTTATAGGCTTTCATTCATATTGGTGTCCTTAGTACTTCCATTCCAGAATACTTGAAGCAAACAAATGTTTATATTCAGGTTGGAAGCTTTTCATTTAAATTTATATAACTAGGGTTTCTTTGTTTTTAAATAAGTGCAATATCCATATGATTGATAATTCAAAATGTGAAAAAAAACCTCCCTCTATCTTCTAGTCATCCAGAAGCAACAAAATTATGAACCTTGTGTAACTTTGTCTATGATAAAAACTACCTCCCTTTCTCACACAATAACATTCTTAGCTCACCATATTGCACTTTTTTCACTTTGCAGTTTACCTTGGAGATCGTTCTTCCAAGGTAGCTTTTTAAAAAACAACAGCAACTTGTTTTTTGATGGTTTTACGAGTTCCACTTGATAGTTTACTATTATTTATTGAACAAGTCCTCTACTTGGTAGTGATTATTTAAATTGTTTCTAGATGGTTTGTTTACTGCTGTTGCTAGTTACTTAGCAAACAATACTGCAGCAGCAGTCTTGGCCTTGAATCATTTCAACATGTGAGCAAGAATACCTACAGGACAAATTCCAGAAGTGGAATTTCTGAGTCAAAGGGTCTATATCTATTAGGTGCCTTTGCAAATTTGGTAGGATTTTCAAGTTGTCCCTAATGGAAGTTAAACAAACTTACAGTCAAACTTGTAACAAATTTATACTCACACTAATATTAAATCTCTATTTCCCCAAGAATCTCCTCAACGTCTTGTATAATCTAACTTTTCAATCTATGCTATTTCATAACTAAGAAATCAACTCAGGATAATGAAAAATTCAAAAAATAAGTAGAAATAAGAGAGAATTTGAAAAGAATTTTGTGTATATGCCATATTTCTTCATCCTCTTTCCCCCAATCGAGTTGCCTTTTTTATTACTATTTAGATTTCTTTCATGAGGAAAATTAAGCCTGCCAAAGGAATACACTTTGCTTCTCCTTTTTTTTGTCACTTGCCTTTTTATTTCATTTGTATTGACTTGTTTGCCCTACAATTTGTTCAAATTTGAAGTTTTCTGACTTTCTCATTTTATGTCAATTTAGATAGATATTTCAGATTCTGATTATACACAGATTATTATTTCATTTTTTACATTTAAATCTTTGATACATCTGGAATTTATCCTTGTGTAGGCTATACGGTATGTATCTAACATTTTTTTTTTTCTAGATGGTACATTTGTCTCGTTGGGAAAATTTTTAATGATGTTATTCTTGGATTATCTTCTACACAGCGGATCATATTTCTGTTTGCCTAGCCCAGAGATCACAACTCAGATGGCTGTAGAGACTAGGCAGGTTACATAAAAGGGTGAAAGTGTGCCAGTGAGAAATAAAGACAGCTGGAAACGGGATGGCATACTCCCCCTCTCCCCTTTATATTGTATTTATTTTGTTGTTGTTGTTGAGACCATGCAAAGCAAAAAAAAACCCCAATTTGACAGTTTCTACATGAAGAATTTTGTAATAGTGGTGACATTTTTGTATAACCATTCTCATTTTTTTCTTGTTCCTTTATTAAAACAAACTCACTGCCCTATATGACCTCTATGTAATCTATTGTTAGGTGTCGTGGAAAAGGCCGCCTCTACTCCTTACCTGATGATTACATCCTTGCAGGAGTAAGACAGGACCCTGTGTGCCAGACCTTTGCCTAGAGAAGTTAGAGATTCTCATTTTCAGATAAATCTGATTTAAAAATCTCATAACTGTATACAAAACAACCTATCTCAGCAAAATGTCTTCAGGACAGACTTGACCCAGAGAAGACTCAAAATAGACTCTGTAATAAAACTTCCCCGTGCAAAGTTGACTCTCCTATGACTAATGCAATCAGTCTAGTTTGGCCATCTAGCAGTCTGTACCAAGAGTACGAGATCCTAAGAGAAAAAGACCTTTTAGACAAGCCAATGTCTCTCTACTCTTCGAGATGAAAGAATATTAAACCGATTGTGAAATATAAAGCATTTAAGTTTATGTATTATCCGATGAGTAACTCTCGTGGCCACGAGTGGAGCCTGTTGTCCTAATCAAAAGGTAAGATCTCAGATAGCCACCAGGAGCTCCTGAGAAGGGAAGCAGTCAGTCTCCTTCCAAGATATATACAGCCTCGCCTTGGAAGCCTAGGTTCAGTCTGAGTTGGAATCGCCAATTTGACATGGATGTCTCAAAACTCAAACCCACATTGCTCAAGTCAGAACGGACACTAAGTTGACCCTTGAGTTTCCAAAGTGGTAAATCCCACGCGTGGAGATGGTCTATCTTTCTGTCACGGGATTCGAACTTGACCGAGAGGTGTGTGTGGGCTTTGGGTTAAGTTGTTGTAACATTTCAGAACTAGGTTCTGGGGCTCGAGGCCCTCCGAGCAGCATCAGGTGGGAATGCTCATGGGAATGTCGAGAGAAAGCACCTCGGACGTAGCCGGCCAGGGAGTTCGTCGAGAACAGGATCGCTTGCATGCCCACAGGCGAGGCGGCCCCCGGCGACCCGGCGACCTGGCGCTCGGCTTCCCTGTGTGGCGCTCAAGGGCGCCTCTGCCTGCTCTGGGGCGCGCATGCTCCGTGCGCGGCTGCTTCGATGCTCGGCGATAAGCAGCGCCGCGGCCGAGGGGGTGGGCCGAGCCGAGACTGCGGGCACCCGGAGCTCGGCGGTGGCCCCGGGCGCTATGCAGGGGTACTAAAGGGGAGGTGGCGGCGCTCGCCAGCGCCGTGAGCGCCGGCACGAGGCTCCCGGGCCCAACGCACACGGCCGGCCGCTCCCCAGGGCCCTCTGCGGTGACGCGGGTGTGCCAGGCCAGGCGGAGCTGTCGCTTGCGAGGGTAGGAAGGAGATGAGAGAGTGAGCTTGCCCTCTGCCCATCGCGGCACTCGTCCAGGCAGGGAGGGGGCCGAGCCTGCTGTGCCCTCGTTGGGGTGCGAACCCAGACAAAGGAGGAGCCGCCCGGGAAGAAGTGGTGAAAGGAGGCCGCCCCTCCTCAATCGCCGCCGGGGGTCGCCTGGGCTCGCTGGCCTCCGAGCTTCCGCTTCGGGCGCTGGCGAGAGGCTCGGGCCGCTCGGGCCGAGGAAGCTGCCCCGCAGCCGGGGACCAGCAGCCGGCCGGCGCTGGCTCAGAACCACCTCTGCCGGAGCTGTGGTCCAGGGAGGCGGCGGCCGCGGGCGAGGCGAAGCAGTCTGCGCCTCGCCTGTCAGGCAGCCTGCCCAGCCCGGCCCAGCGCGAGAGGCACTCCTCCATGCAGAGGTGCCGCTGGGGCCATGCAGCAGGCGCCGCAGCCCTACGAGTTCTTCAGCGAAGAGAACAGCCCGAAATGGCGCGGACTGCTGGTCTCGGCGCTGCGAAAGGTCAGTTCGGGGGGCTGCGGCCGGGGCGGCGGCGGGGGCCCGAGGCGGTTGCACGCCGGGGCTGCATGCCCAGCGCGCCGCCGCTGCGCTGCAAGGACTAACGGGGACCTGCGCGCGTCCTGCGAGTCTGCGGCTCCGCGTGGGCCGGGGGCCCAGCAGCTTCTCCTTGCCCGGGTGGGGGAGCCTCATCCTCGACTGTTGCATCTAGGAGGACGTTTTCTCAAGTTTTCGCCTGACCCCGAATAAAAAAACAAAACAAAACAACCCAAACACCAACTGGATTTCATGTTGCACTCATTTCGTCAGGCAACTTCCGCCGTTGACCAATTTGTTGTCCTCGGGCTGGATTCTGGCAAGAGAAAAGTCCCGCTGGTGTTAGGACAATGTCTACAGCAAGAGCCCATTTTCAAGGCCGAGAACTACTTTTAATTCCGTTCTTTAGGGCTGTTCCCCCCAAGGCAGGTTGCTTGTCAGGGTGTCCACTCACTCGAGGCAGGGTTTTGGGACCAGGAATGTGTTTCAGGTGTGTGAAATGTCAGGGAACCTGGATGGGCTTACTCGTTCTGCGGTGCCTAAGGTAAATTTCAAGCGCCTCCCCTACTTCCTGCAGAAACCATCTCACCTGCTCACAAGAGATTTCACTTCTAAAAACTAGAGGCGCTTTCCAACTTGGAGTCACGTTAAGGGACAAGAGAGGGACAACACAAGGGGGGGAGGGGAGAAATCTCAACATTCTTTCAGGTTTGGGTCCACTGATTGCGAGGGTGTTGATTTTTCCATTCAATGATGTTGATAATTTCTGTGTGAGTTTCGATAATCACACTCTCATTTCAATAATAAACCTCTTTACGGTCAAGATAAACGTAGACTGTAAATAGATGCATGATTAGCAGGCATGCCTGAGGATCGGGGAGTTGCCTTGTCTTTGATGTAGACTTAGTACTTTCCACCTTTGGTGTGAAATAACGAAGAATAAATTGTAAAGTAATAAAGGGAAAATGAACATACATTCAGAAGACCACACTTGAAAAATAAGGCTTCACGTTGTTCTTGTTGGTATTGTGCTATTGGGTCAGAAATGACTCATAACTGACCCTCCAGAGGGTTTTCAGAGGTAAATTAGGAGGAGTCTTTCCACCTTTCTGTGAAAGCTGGTGGAAATGTATTTTCAAGGTAAGAGTTTTTTTACCCCATGTGTTCAGAGTTGCAGAATTTCTGTTATTTTCCTAATTTGTACAAGGTGCTTGTTTGAGCGACATCACAGCATTCTGAAGAATTTGTTGGAAGTGACCAGGACAATTAAGATTTCCATGGGATACCGACTGCTAACGTGTTAGACTGACTGTCCTTTACTCGCAGACTAATTCTACAAAGAGAATGAGAGCTGTAAAAACGAAAACCAAACAACCTCAAAAAAGTGTGCTGAGTGGCAAGGATGAACTCTGGCCCAAGTTAAAAGCAAAGGAGGAAATGCTTAGATAGTAAATGCCATCCACCCCAACTGAGTGTGAGTGCAGTTGTCAGACGGCTGTCATGCACGGTGCCATGCGCTGTTTATCTGCTAGTTCATTGTGAAAGCAAAGGCTATTCGGGCATGCACTGCACAGCTCTTCTAGAGGCAACTTTGTCTTACTTCAGGTCAAGATGGGAACAAAGCTGCAACTAGTATCAGCCAGTAGATCATTGCTTTAGGACTTGTTACTTTGCTCCTGGAGCACAGTTTCCATGTAGATACTGTATTGTTTTACCCCACAGTTCTGCTGTATATACTTTGTTTAGAAAAGAAATACTTAAAGTTTGTTCTCTTGACAACTGTTTTTGAAAAGCAGTTTCTTTTATTAATTATCATTGTTTTTCATTGTCTGTGAGTCAGAACTGACTCATAGCTGACCCTCCAGTGGGTTTTCAGAGGCTGTAGATCACACTAGAAGAGATTGCCTTTCCCCATCCACATGCCTTTGGATTGGTAGTACAATTCTCTACCCACGAGGTTACCAGAGCTCCCAAATTTTATAACTAGAATTATAAAACTGAAATACCTTGCCATGGAAAAGGTTTCTATTTCTTGAAAATTTTTCATGATACTAATTTGGGTTAGTTATGCCATTTTGTGGTAAACGGGACATTACAAAACAGAAATTGATAGTGCCTCTGAAGAGTTGTAGCCTTTAAGGAGCTCAAGATTTACTCTTTGCCCCATATGTTTAGTGGTGATATCAGTTTGCCAACGATGTCTTTGTATAATGAGAATTTCTGCTATTTCTAGAGAGGCTCTGTCTTCACATTCAAAGCATTCAGGACTTGGCTTGCTTTCTCCAGCTGACGAGATAGTTACAAAGACTGCTAGAATTAGACTGTAATATTTCTCTCTTCCAGTTGGTGTTGTCATTGAACATGTAGCTTATTCTTTAGCATCATTCAGTCAACATTTACAGTACACATTTTAAGAACTTTGCAGTGTACTGCATCCTAGGAATGCAAAGAGGAGTAAAACCAAATATTTTGTTCCCAAAGAGTTTGCAATTTATATAGAAACTTTTTTACATTTTGAGGTTTGGGTTTATGTAAGTAGAACAGAGCACTTCTGAGCCCAGAGTTCTATAAGGGATATGTGGTGTGGAAAAGGAGCCGAGTATAGTTTAGTTCACTCTGTCAGGTTAGTCCAGTTAACCATCTGTGAAACTTCTAAAACTCTTAATACACAAATTTCAGAAAGAAAATCATACTCCATAAGTGATTAATGTAATCAGGGTTACTAAATTGTACATGTGAAACCATTGTTTTATTATTATAAATTATATAACACAAAACATTGATATATATACTTTACAAAAGAAAGTAAAATCATATAAATGGGCATGTGTCTGATTTTTAATCAGTACCTTATTTAATGGCTGAACTAGTAATATGATGTTAAAACCATTTGAAATGGAAATTTGAAGTGCTAGCTATTTATAGATAATTTAATAAAGAAATATTAAGATTATTGAGAGCTCTGGTTGCCTAATTGCAAGAAGCTGTGCTGCAATCCCAAAGGCATGCAGTTTGAGGCCACCGTCTACTCCACAGAAGAGTGAGAAGTATCCTCCAGTGTGATTAACTGCCTTTGAAACCCTGCTGGAGGGTCAGCTAGGGATTCCTTCTGACTCAATGGTATACAACAACAAGATTATTGAGATAAATGACAAAAAAAGAGTAACTTTAGGCTGTCTTTTCCACTGGACAGAATTATTTGCATCTATACTGACTGAAAATCTATATATTTGTCTTATAAAGCACTCATAAATGCACTGATGTTGAGTTGATTGGTTTTCAGAAGCTGTAAGTCTTTACAGAGGGACTTCTGTTGGCTTAGTGATAAGGAATTTTGCTATCAACACAAAGGTATGTGTTTTGAGTCCACCAACTGCCTCATGAGAGAAAGATGAGCAATCTCTTCCCATGTGATTTACTGCCTTTGAAAACTCAGTGGAGGATCAGCTAGGGTCAGCTAAGGGTTAGTTCTCACTCAGTAGTACACAACAACAAATCTTTACAAGAGGGGACTGCATCTCTTCTTCACCAGCAGCTAGTGGATTCAAACTGTCAACCTTTCATAAAGCAGCCTGAAACAATCCCTATTATGCAACTCTGTAGGGTTCTTTATAAACTAATCTTACAGATTTATAGAGTATCCTAATCAAGAGATAGTAATCAAAGGTGCATGCTACTGAAGTATTTTTTTCTCTTATTTTCAAGTTTAGGTTAATTTTTATGAAAAAAAATATATATTATCATCAGAAGTACAAAATTAGAAAAATCAATCCTTCATTAAATCTTCATTTCACTAAAAAAATTATAAACATTGACATATAAATTTGTGGACAAATAGCTTTGGAAATAGAAACGTGGTGTTCTTTAACTTTTTAAACAGAACCGCACCCAGAACATTAAAGTACATCCAAACTACAAAGGGTAAATGGTGAAACAACACCACTAATGGATAATACATGGGTTGTTAACATTACTTCTAAATTATGTATCTTCCTAAAAGATTCTGAAACACAAATACCTTCACCACTACTCTCCAAGAACATTAAGGTTATCAGATTTCTTTAGGGGGTGGGTAGGGTAGAAAGCAGGCACTGTATTTGTAAACGCAGCATATTACCTGTGTGTACAAAATGCTTTTTATACTTGTGCTTGTGCTGCTTGATTGTATGCCAAGATAAATCAGAAGAGCAGACATTGTACACATGGTAAATATGCTTAAAAATAACTTGATCAGGTTTTTCAGCCCCTGCTGTTACCATTGGAAGTGAGCACCAATGGCACAGTGGTGAAAGCTACTAATGAAAAAACCAGCAGTTAGAATCGATCTGAATCTTTCAGCCATTCTGCCATGGAATGATGTGGTAGTTTGCTGCTTTGTAAATCCAGTCTCACTCACTGCAAGGGAGTCAGTTCCCAACTCATATGCACTGGTTCTCTGAGGCTGAAAATCCTCAGGGAGGAGATTGCTTATCTTTCTCTGGTAGAGTAACAAAATTTGAACTGCCAGAGACAAAAAAGCAGCCTTTGAGGCCACGAGACTTCACTACTGCAAGCTAACAGGGCCGTTCTACTCAGTTGTAAGGATGCTCTGTGTCAGAATGAACTTGACCACAGTTGGTTTGCTTGAAATTTTTTTCTCCTTTTTTTTTTTTTTTTTGTCATTCCATTGGATGAACACTTCAACAAGATTTCTTCACTAGGCCAGCAACAGAAAATATGTTGTCTTAAGAAGCACTGGTGGTGCAGTGCATACCGTATCTGTAATGTGCCAAGATGCCAAATGAAAGGTGAGCAGTTTGAATCCACCATTTATTCCACAGGGGAAAGACAAGAAGTTTCCTCTCTTAAAGATTTACACCATCAATCCAGTGAGGAGGCTTGTTATGTGTTAGGACCAAAACCATGGCAGGAGGATTAGGTTTGAGCTATGGTAGGGAGCTTAAGAAGTGCAGTCTGAAGGGAGGTAT